ACATACATTTCAAAAAATATAGCTCTAATGGCAATTAGAATAATTAGTTAGGTACTAGGTAAATGATTCTAAAGTCAATTAGAATTACTTTTTTTGTTAAAAAAAATAAAATTTTTAAAAACCCCCTTACGCAAATTAATTGTGATTTAACGATTGCATTGCCACGCGTAAAGCACTTAATCGAGTAATCATACGCAAAAAACCCTTACATCTTTTTGGAAAAGAGTCGATACTCTTACACTGCTGAACCGATATTAACTAAACATAGCTAAGAACCACCGCAAGGAAACTGGCTTTCAAATGAAAAAAAACGCATCGAAATCGGTCCATCCGTTTGAGAGCTACGATGCCACAGACAGAGACGCATAAACAGACAGACAGACAGACATCGACATCAAACTTATAACACCCCTCTTTTTGCGTCGGGGGTTAAAAAGTAAAGTAATTATGAAGATTTATTATTAAAACTAAGCAAGGCACAACACAAAGCTACTGAAACAAGACATTTATAATCAAAGTTAGTTACTCTAGATAAAATAGCAGTTAAACTATTAACCTATATAAATATCTTTTTGTAGTTACATTTAACTGTGCATTTAGTTCACGTTACGGTTCTACCCGCCCGTGTAAGGCCGCGCGCACATTGGAAACAAATTTTGATCGTACGTAAACGTACGATTATGGTCGTACGAATTAAGTGCGCACATTGAATACGTTTTTCTCCGTCAAATAGGTAGTTTCCCGGTGATATCGCACTCAAGAAGTCCTCTTTGGAGCGCGATGAATAATCTGTATCTTCAAGATAATTCTCTTATATTAACTCGGAGACTGTGGCGGCGTCTTCGCTATCATAGAACCAAATGGGTGCGTGAAATATATTCAAAAATACGCGATTGCGGTGAATTCCATCATATTATGGAAGACTCATATAATGACCACATACTGTTTCATAGTTATGCACGTATGAAGAAACAAACATTTATGTTCATAAAGTAAGTTTATAAATTTTTCTACACCCATTTTTAATTTTTCACGCACGAAAGCTTATTAAAATCCCAACAAGTTCGGATTGTATTCGGACGTCGGAACTACACGCACGTATACGTACGACTAACTCGCACGCAATCTGCGCACCCCCATAGTAGTTGAAAGGTGCGGATCATTCGTGCGTGTTCGTACGTGTTCGTACGAGTAAAATTCGTACGAAAACGTATCCAAAGTGCGCGCGGCCTAATGACGATGTTTCATCACGAACCACATCTGACAGTTTCAACTCGAAAATATACGTCTCAAAATGTAAGAGGTTTAAGTGGCTATAAATTATAATAACTGCTTGTGACGATACGTTGCGTGGTGGCGCCTCGACCGTGACAGTTACGTCTAAAATAGGAGCACGTTGTTTCTGATAATATCTGTCTTGAAAAAAATATTTCTATGTCATGGGGCTCTTATTAGCCATAAACAAAAAAAAACAGGCTAATTTAAGATAATCTTTTAATGATTATGATAGCAGTATACTTATAAATTCTACTATAGGTCATGGAACAGTCAGCAGACCCATCACGCACCATCATTAACAGAGTCGCTAACTGTATTCCCTTTTTGTTTGTCCCATTATTTAAATTGGTAACAGTAATTAATAAAACTATTTCATTTATATTCCCTCACATATTTACTGCATATTATTAAATTAGCGATCCGCCCTCGCTCTGTTAAGGTGCTAACAATATTTCGTGCCCTTTATTTTTATTTATTTTTTTCTAAGTCTTTATAAAAACCTTATATTTGAGTCTAGGGGATTCTCAGATTTGAGTCTAAAATTTTACAAGTTTAACCATTTGATATAGTATCGTAGCAAACCTGCAATATAACGGTTCTCATTTTATATTATTTTTAATAATACTAGACGAACCCACAAAAAACTCTTTAGCTTTATGTTATACAGCGACTCACCCTAGCTTCGCTCGGGTTCGTCCCTTTATGCTTGCTTCCTAATACAAGCTTTCCACCCCAATTTTCACCCGATGATTTCCGGGATAAAAAGTATCTTATGTCCTCCCCGGGGTCTCAAACTATCTTCTTACCAAATTTCATCTAAATCGGTTCAGTAGATCCAGAGATTACCCCCTACAAAGTCACAAACTCACAAACTTTACCTCATAGATGTAGATATATTGTTCAAATACAAAAATACTAAAATCGTGATAAAAAAATGGGGGTAGGGGTAGGAAGATGAAAAATACTAAAAAAATCTTTTACCGCCATATTACCACAAATACCGTGACACGATATATTTATAAATTAGATAAATATAATATGTACGTTGCACAATTTATTGCTGTGATGAGAGGAATTGGACAAATAATTATGTGGTCAAAGTGAATGTATCTAGCGTATAAATGAAGATAATTTGCGGTGGACGACGGGTGACAGGTAGCCCGTAGCGGCTGCCAAGTGCCGAGATTATCATCTTGCAATCATTCTAGATTAGTAGTTTACTTACTCTCTTATATATACTTTCATTGATCATTGATACCATTGACTTATTATGGAAACTCTTAATAAACTCTTTATATGTACATAATATGTCTATGTATCGCCAGAGTCAGATAGGTACATGTTTGGTTTAAAAGTTACAGCTTTAAAAAAACAAAAATGTATAAAAATTGTTCATAGTATCATTGGGTTCTCAAAAATATTTTATAAATATAGGATACCTATACTACCTCGGTGGTGTAGTGGCTAGCATGTACGGCTGCACACCCGGAGGTCCTGGGTTCGAGTCCCGGGTCGGGCCAAATTTAATTACCGAGTCTTTCTGTATAGTAAGTCTCAGTAATAGCCCGGAGTTGGGAAGTTGGTAGTGTTTCACCCCCGTGCCTCTGAGAGCACGTAAAGCCGCCGGTCCTGCGCCTTAACTGGTCGTGTCGAGCAGTCGTCCCACCGGAGTATGAGAGTGACAGGAATAGAGAGTGCACCTGTGTCTGGGCGTTACACTTGTGCACTATATCTCCTGCGCAGTTGGCTAGTCTCAATGAGATTGGCCGCCGTGGCCGGAATCGGTCAGGAGAACATCATCATCATACTACTAAAAAGCTATAACGCCTAACGGTCTTTAATGCTTTAAACATTAAAGATTCTGTATAATATCTAAAACACTAAAACTTAATGTTGATATTCCTGTTTAAAATCCAGTTCTCCATTAAAAGAAAGAATTATACATTAAATAAGGCAATACCAAGTCTGTTAGCAAGTATTAGTTTTGATCAAATCTGCGATGAGGAGCCCGCGATAGGTATGCAGGTCAGTGAGGCGCAACGGACGTACCTAAAGCGTGCCGCGCGGCCTACTCGTACACTTGCATTACATTAAAATCAACCTTATTTTTATATATTTAAGGTATGTTTTGATACTGTACGTGAGATTCATTTGCATATTCCGCTAGCCGGTGGCGCCGACATTGAACTTATAAGGCGATTTGATTCGAATTATAGATAGTTACGTATTTGACCCCTGCTGTGGAGAAATTATAACTGTGGCTTAGGTAAAAGAGACCTATGATGTTTTTTGTTATTTGATTAAATAAATACATATCCTACTAATATTTGGACGACACGTTTGTGGCAGTTTGTAGTGACTCACTTGCTGTGCCAGCGGTCGCTGGTTCGAATCCCGCTGGGGGCATTCATTTGTGTGATGAGCACGAATGTTTGTACTCCAGTCATGGGTGTTTATATTTATAATATGTATGTATTTAAAGTTATATATGTGTAGTATATTCATTACACAAGCCTCGTAGCTTACCATGGAACTAGATGGTGCTGTGTGGTAATGTCCCAACATATTTATTTATTTATTATAAATGCGAAAGTTTATGAGGATGTATGGATGTTTGTTATTCTTTCACGCAAAAACTACTGAATGGACTTTAATGAAACTTATATACTCATACATCAGCATTTGGGCATCGACATGGGCTACTTTTTATCCCGGAAAAATGTACGGTTATCGTGGGATAGATTTCTTTTTTTTGGTGAGCCGCTAGTTAATTATATTATGTAAGTTGGAAAAAATATGCCCAAAATGTTGAATTCCAAATATTAAATTATCAAAAACGTAAAATTGATAGTTTTTATGTAAGGGAATATTATTTTGTTACTAGGTACATAACGATTTTAAAAATTCACAAGCAAATTCTAAGCAACACTGTTTTAGCAGATAGAAGGTGCCTACGTACCTACTTATAGATTATTTTTATGTAGTTTTACCACTTATATGCTAATAACATTATGTCTCTAGTTTATATTATCGATAGGTATACATTTTACAATAGAACGTGAAGACATGAATAGCGTTACTAGAAAGCCTCAAACTAAACCAGCCATACCTTGTTACAATTGGGTCAGGCGGTGCACGAGTGCGGACGCGGCCTAAATGCTAACAAATTGTGTTATTAGTAAGATATATCATTATCACCTTAATTTAAAAAATGCATTAAATTTATTCTTCGTAAGAATTAAATTAGGTTTTAATATACTTATTACATATTTATTTTTGTACTGGCCACTCTCCCTTGCTTCGCTCGGGTTCGTCCGCAGTTGGTATGGAATAGATAGACTATATATTATATATAAACATAGGTATGATGAGTTGTTGTGGATTGTATTATAACGTGGTAAAAAGTAAAAGCCTATGTCACTCTGCAACCTTTTCACTATCTCCACACAAAAAATCACGCCAATCCAACCAGAGAGTTTTGAGAGCTTTTACTCACGGTAAACAAAGTAGTTACACCGTATAATATTGGGTTATTAGTACAGTTTAATAACTTGCAAATATATTAATTGTAACCTCATAATAACAAATTAAATATAGGTTTCTTAACAAAACTTTAGAAAAATAAATATTAATGATTTAAACCACAAATAAAAATAACAATAAATATTACATTATGTATAAAATAAAGATATATATAATTTAATTTATTTAATTTTAAACAGACACTAGCATCGTTATGCGTGTCGGAGCCCGCGGTGGAGCCCAAGACTGAGGAGACACAGGACCCTGAAGAGCCTCCAGAAGGATACTACGCGTTTGTAGAGTCGCCCAATGCGACTCCACCGAGGTACAATTGAATATTTAATTATGTTTATATTGCATTATTTCTTTAATATACAATAATTAAGGATGATAATATTCATTATTATTGGTACCTGAGATAGACAGTTCAGTCTGAAATTTCCGAAAGTAAAACTAACACTGACAAGAATACGAAACATGATATTTTGACCGGAATTGTCTTATATTATAACGATATTTTGTAAAATATATATAGGTGTGATGTGTATAAATGATAAATAAATAAATACGTTGGGACATTAACACACAGCACCATCAAGTTCCATTGTAAGCTACGAGGCTTGTGTTATGGATACCGGATAGTTGATACGCTACACATATATAACTTTAAATACATATTATACATACAAACGCTCATGACTGGAGTAAATACATTCGTGCTCATCACACAAATGTATGCCCCCCAGTGGGACTTGAATCCGAGACCGCTGGCACAGCAAATACACTACAAACTGTGCCAAACGTGTCGTCAAAATGATGTTTGTATTTTCTCACTTCACACGTGGATGAGCTAGCCAGGGCCGGGCCCAGTCGTTATTTATAGCAATACCTATTCAACACACCTTTTTGGAACCTGTAATCGAACCTTTTCGTGGCAACTCATGATTTACGTTTAACGAGAAACATTTTACAGCTTTATCACCAAACGAAGTACTTCCCCGCAATAAAGTTAGCTCAATATAATGTAGATTTCTCTGCGGCCTCGAGCTCTCTCTTAAGCTTTAACGCTGATTACTTGTTTAATACTTTCGAGCGGACAGCGGTCACGACTTTCACTGGTCTGTTACAAATAAAGCATAATGTGTGCTGTCATCGGATGCCGTATGATGCATCACTCATCGACCTAAGCGATCGGCCCTTGCTATTGTCATTATGCGAAAACAAAACTTTTCGGTCAAGTTTATATGTGGTATTATAATAATAATGTCCTCCTGGCCGATTCCGGCCACGGCGGCCAATCTTATTGAGACTAGCCAACTGCGCAGGAGATATTATAGTGCACAAGTGTACGCGCAGACACAGGTGCACTCTTTATTCCTGTCACTCTCATACTCCGATGGGACGATACTTCAACACGACAACACGATACTTAAAACATCACCAACTGCCCAACTCCGGGCTGTTACTGAGGCTTACTATACACAAAGACTCAATAACTAAACTTGACCCGACCCAGGACTCGAACCCAGGATCTCCGGGTATGCAGCCGTACATGCTAGCCAGTTCACCACCGAGGCAGTGGCAGTGTAGGTATTATTACCGTAAGAATAGCCTACAAACTTTCTTCTTCTTGCTTCTTTAATATTGTGTATTATATGGAAAAGGTTGTACCTATATATAAATAATATATAAATAATCTTTTACATTACAAACTCTACATTCAGCTTAAATCTTGATGAGCCTATACAATAAGACTCCTTTATGTGAGTAGTGTATACCGTCTAGGTCTGCAAATGCAAAAAGAGCCCATCACCACGTGTTTTCTTCTTCGATCACTCCATCGTCAAGAGCTCAACTCTTAAATGAGAAGAACATTACTAACTCAAAACTTAGTTCTATGACCACGACCTATAAATGAACTGTAGGCATACTTACTTTAGAAACGTCAGGTGAAGTCCCAATTTTTATAATTGCAACATAAATTGAAGCGAAAATATAATAAGGTATATACAAATAATGGAGATCCGTTATTATATGCGTAGTGCTACATTGTTCCCACAACAATTTTGCCCATGTAATTTTTTGATTTGAGTGTTCAAACATTAACGAATGATTCATGACACTCGATAGTAAACGGTAAAGTTGTTTTGTAAAACACAAGCATATGTAGGCTTAAGTTACGGCACATTGATGTATGTTGCCGCGCCATGGCGCGAGTCATGGTTACCAATGATGAACAAACAGCCTGCATAAAATAAACACACTTTTGTACAGTTAATCAGAATTGCATGTTTTTTTTATAAATTAGCTAAGATACAAAGCACGGCTTATTTATGAAATACTAGCAATGCCCGCGGCTCCGCCCGCGTTCAGATGACCAAAAACTAAATTCTTAGGTTTTACATATTAGTATACTCTTACATTGTAGTTTTTGTATTTTTTCTCAGAAATGAGACATTTTCCCGCGGTAATTATCCTATATGTTGACCCGAATAACCAAACCAAATTTCATCAAAATCCCTTCAGTGGTTTTCCCGTGATGCGGTAACAGACAGACAGACATACAGACAGACAAAAATTCTAAAAACTATAGGTTTGGCCTCTGTATCGATAATAATGACTATTTCAATGAGGTTTTCCAAAATATATTTAATATACAGATTCGCTTAATTACAATTTTATTATATGTATAGATATAAAATGTTTTTGAAAAATTATTATCAATTTGTTAAATGTTTATCAATGTCTGATATTTTTTGGACATTGGCAATATAATATTTTAGCAGTGTTTTTAATTTTGAAACTGGTTCATTTAAACTGGGTCTAAGTGCTAATGTACAACCTTAAATAAATTACAATATCGATAGTAAGGCCCATAATTAAATAATGATAAGATATGGGCGCTGAACAGCGCTGTTCAAACTGCCTCGGTGATCTAGGTTAGCATGTACCTACGGCTTTAGATCCGGGGATTCTGGGTTCGAGTCCTGGTTCAGACCAAGTTTAGTTATTGATATTTTCAGTCAAAAAATTGGCTTCCCGGATTCGGAAAATTGCCAGTACCCAGCACATCTGTGATTCGAAAAGCTCGTAAAGCCGTCGTTCGTACGCCTGTTTTCGCATCGGTTGTATCAAATTATCGTCCTACCAGAGTATGAAAGCTAAAGAAATAATAATTTCTTCGTGACTTTCGACCACGGTGGCCCATCTCACTGAGACTAGCCAACTGCGCAGGAGATGCTATATTGTAGATGTATGCGCGAAACTACAATGTGCACTCTCTATTTCTCTTATACATATATAGGATAATTCCTACTAATATTATAAACGCGAAAGTTTGTAAGAATGTATGTATAGATTTATGTTTGTTACCCTTTTACGTAAAAACTACTGAATGAATTTTGATGAAACTTTACAATAATATAGCTGAAACGTCAGATTAACACATAGACTACTTTTTATACCGGAAAAATGTAGGGTTCCCGTGTGATAGATTCGTTTTGTTTACGCCGCTAGTATAAGATAATTTTAAGTGCACTTTGTATCTGCGTGTACATTCGTGCACTTTAATAGTTACTTTAATAATAGTCTCAATGACCTTCGCCAATGTAGCCGAAATCAGGTTAGGAAGACAGTGGGTATACGAATGGATAATATTTGGCAGAGTACGTCCGCCGCCCTACCGACAAGTGCTGTCAGAGTGCGCGCCGGCGGGCGAGCGCGCGCACGTTAGCGCGCACAACCTGTGCGGCGACCTCAACCGCGGCCTCATCCCGCGCAACCCCATGGGCCAGAGCCCTAACGGAGAGCCCTACCCTTTGTGAGTTATTCATCATTTCTTTTACAAAATCGATCAAAAAAGTACTAAGTACACAATCAGCATCAAAAAATGTCCTCAACGAATGAGCGCTCATTTGAACATTTGAGTGCGGTTTTAATTTTTTTTAAATGTGGTAAGCATTGCATTTAAGGTTCAATTTACTTTGTAGTATATGTATTTCAACTAGAATAATTATCTAAACACAATTGTTGACAGTTTTAAGAGAACTTTTGCATGGGATTGTGTGTCTGTAGTACTTTTTTGATCGGTGTTTTACAAGATTTTATTTAACTTGCTATGTAATATGTTTGTTATTATATGTTGTTATTGTATGTTACTTAATATGGGTTAAATCTTGCAAGCTGAATGAGAACCACCTCCTCTTATTCCACAGAGCTGAGGTTGATTCCATTCTGATAGCAATGTTTTTTTTTGATGATTATAACCTGATTCTCCATCTAGGATTGCGTTCAGATGAAGTAAGTATACATTTAAAATTTGGTTTTGCATATTTGATAATAATAATTGATGGATAATTTATAATTTGATTCCGACAAGATTTTGCAAAGCAATACAAAGACAAACATACGCAAAACTAAATCAGATTTTCTGATGATAATTAAGAGGTACCTAAACTACCTATTATAGATATTATAATCTATCCTAATATTATAAAAAGGTAAAGTTTGTGAGTTTGTGACGTTTAAGGTTGTATTCTATGGATCTACTGAACCGATTTTGATGAAATTTGGTAAGAAGATAATTTTAGACCCTGGGAAGGACATAGGATACTTTTTATCCCGGAAATCATTCCTTAATGGGAGAAAATGGTGTATAAGTTTGTATGGGGAATCAACCTAGCGAAGCGAGGGTGTCGCTATTTACATATTTACGTAAGTACCACTTGTAACTTTCACATCGAATGTTATTGTTCTTTTTGCTAGTTGCCGTAAGATAATTTCCAGATCATTTCATTTTCCGCTTCCGATACGCGTGCTCTCAATTTTTTATGCAAATTTACCGCTTTTCTGAGGCTACACTATGCACGCTTCGCAACTTTAAAAGTTTTAAAAAATACTTTTAGTGTATAACAACAAAATTAAATCTGTTTGCAAATGTTTACGTAATATTAGGTCCTGATAAAAATTTGGTAATGGGTTTTTAGTACCTACATATTCACAGATTCGATATATATATTCGATTCTATATATCTATAGCGGGTATGTAGTGCCAAGCCTTAGGCATAAACGACACGTAGTACAGGGGCCATGTTCCGCAGCGAGCTGATCCGCAACCACACGCTGCGCTTCCTGTCGCGCACGCTGCCCGTGCTGCGCGCCGACGACGCGTTGCCGCGCGTGGCGCACGTCGCGCCCGCCGCCCCCGCGCCTGCCGCCGACCTGCACCACAACCGGTGAGTGACGCGCACACACAAGCACACATAATATAGTGTAAATAGAATCAATCAGTTACATTAGCACTAAATAGTATAACCACAAACAATTGACAAAAAATAACTGCAGTGACACATACACTACCTATATATAATATAATATGTAGTGTAACAGAGAGTACAAAAACATAATATACAATAGCGATATAAAAATTATATAACTATTGTTATATAATATATATTACATCTGTCGCGCACGCTTGTATTATTATTTATTGTTATATATTACATGTACATACATGTAAACACATTGTTTGATGTGCATATCATTAGTATGATCAATTTAATTTATTCTGGCTTTTTTTTCCTTTTTCAATATATGAGTACTCTGTTGTGTAATACATATACTATTATATCTAATAGAGTAATCTAATTTTGGCCATACTTATTAATAACTTTGTGCTCTAACTGTATGTCAACAATTTTATAACGCTTTAAGATTACCAAGAAATAAATAAATAAATATGGCCAATTTTACTTTTTTTTAAACGATGTTTTTATTTTAACATACGTAGGTACTTTATGAATGTTCTTACATATATTTGTTTCTATCCGTACATTTATCCAGTATTTATCAAAACTTCTATGCGACCTTTCAGCCTAGAGGAGCGCGCGCGGCGCTCGCTGCCGGCGGACGAGCCGGCGCCGGCTGAGCACCGCGCCGAGTCGCGCGGCTTCTGCGACGGCGGCGGCGTGTGAGTACACACACTCATTCATATACATGCACACACATACACGCACATTTACACACACTCGCACATATACAAACACACACCCACAAACTTACTGACACATAAACATAGGTACATATATTTACACTGTCACACACACTTCTCACTAAACATATTATTTATTTATTTTTTATTAAGAGAACAAACAATGAGATGGTACTCATACGATACTAATATACAAAAATACATACATCATCCAAGTTTCCACTGATAGTAATTACATAAACACTAGCATTAACAAAGACAAACCAAATACAATTCAACATAGATACCTACATAAGAACAGCAAGTTCACAAAAAATACAAACTCAAAGCTAAAATTATATAAGATGTGATAATTTTAACAATATAATACATTAACTGAATGGGCCATAAAACAAATATGGCTACAAAAATATAAAATACAAATAAAATATGGCTACAGGATAAAAATTATACCTAACTTCAAATATATTGTGTACTAGGAAATTGTAATACATTTAAAAGAACTAATTATAACAAGATTTATCCCGTGCGATGCAACGGCAGCATCATATAGTTAACAAGCATTGCCCGCGGCTCCGCCCGCGTTCAGATGACCAAAAACCAAATTCTTAAGTTTTACATATTAGTATGCTCTTACATTGCAGTTTTTGTATTTTTTCTCAGAAATGAGATATTTTTCCGTGATAAAAAGTATCCTATATGTTGACTCGGATAACCAGCGATCACCATATCTTTCATCAAAATCCCTCCAGTGGTTTTTCTGTGATGCGGTAACAGACAGACACAAAAATTCTAAAAATTAAAGATTCGGCCTCTGTATCGATAATAATGTTTATTTCAATAAGATTTTCCAAAAAATATTTAATGTACAGATTCGGCTTAGTTACAATTTTATTATATGTATAGATTATAACTAATCACTGACACTGGCTGGCGCGCCGCTCACGTCGAGTGGGCTTTTACTGTTTTATCGTTACACATATTTTACATTAATATTATAAATATACAACGAATATATAACTCTCATACTATTCAAAATGTAGACGAGCATGCATTTGCATGCGTACATACTAATGTTACTTCTAAACGTTAATCGGTATCAATAATTTCAATTGTATTTTATGAATTCTTTGATAACATTAATTTCTGTAAAACATTTGTAACATTATTTACTATAACATATATATTTAATTATTCACACATTAAGAGGTTAAAGTGAGTAAATAAAGAAAAATCAATAAACTGCAAAATATTTATTAATATAAACTACACTATAATATAATATTTAACTAGCACTTACAAAAATATTGCGTCCCAAAATCATGTAAAGAAACGACACAGAATATTTTAGCTACGAACGTCAATATTCGCCACATACATAGGTTTAACATTCAACATAAAGGTTTATATACTACGTGCATATATAATTATTTATATTAAAAAAAACAAGCGAGCCTTACAGTAGTCGCATATAATGTGTAACATCTGACACTCACCTTATGATGTCTAAAGTAAATTTGAAGAGAATATTGAATATTGTTAGAATTTTTGTATAATTACGTAAATTAGAAATGAGAATTTTTCTTTTACGCGGACATGACTTGTACAGTAATAACTAAGTCTACAATTAATTTGTATATATAATTAAGTATATTTGTAATTTTCTTTATTGTAAATAAATTACTAAGTATTTTCTTTGTGGAGAAAAATCAAAAAAATATAGGTTTAGATCTAGAACTAATCGACCAACTCTACCACCACACTCATTGGTCAAATCAAATAGCGTGCTTCCCAGGTTTCCTGTTATACTGACTTACACACTTACATTCCCTTTCATGAAATCCCTTTCACAGAGTACAAGAAAAGCGAGAGGATAGATGTTACACATCAATAACGTAATAATTGAATGCAAGGCAGTGGGAGAAATCCCGTATCTCGCACTTTTGATATCTTCCTGTGCGTATCATTTCCAACACGATTACCGCCTGTCTTACGGTGAAGGAAATATCGTGTGGAAATCTACATGTCTGAGAGAACTTAGTAAGGTTTCGAAACACATGCTCAGTCCGCCCGCACTCGGCGAGCATGGTGGACTATATCCCATACCCATTCCATACCCAATCCACCCCCTATTGAAGGCAAGCCCACCCCCAGCAGTGGGACGTTAAAAAGGCTGGATACATATATACAACGATTAAATGTTATATTAATAATTTATATTTGAGCCGTGAACAAATTTCGTTGACTCAATCGTGGGATAACGTCACAAAGTATTAATGTATATCCATCATATAGAAATATGTTCACATAACTCATTTTGGAAACATCATTGGTATAATGCCATCATTCATACACGGAATGCACTACAATTTGCCAATAGTTGGTTATAAAATATTGCACATTTCTTGGTCTTGGTATCAAAATCAAGTCCAGAGCGACATGATCTATAACCCAACGTTCCCAATAACCAACCTGTCTACAGATTTTTTTACTATCGATAGAAATTTGACACAATCTGTTTGGAACTGTCAAATTTCTAGTAAGGAACATTTTATAGTAGATTATTGAGAACCGTCTTTGAAGGATAAACACCAAATATGTGGGTATAAATTATTCGAGTTTGTAAAAAGTGTGTTGAGACATTCTTCACCAACCATCATACATACTTGTAATAGTATATAATTCATAATATCATACGCGAGAGTCCGAGTTCAGAACGCGGTGGCTCGGCGCCATTAAAGGATAAATGGAAGTAGTAGTAATTTCAAAAAGAACTACGTCTTGTTATTTTGACATACCAATTTTAAAAAAACTCCTATTTTCTCAAAAGTAAGTTGTTGTGGTTGGATCTATGTTGCATAACTATGTCCAAATACCAGCGGCGGAGCGCGAGTTTAGAGGCCCCGGGACTGACACTTCTTGGGGGCCTAAAGTAATTGTCATATAGTCTTTAAAAAGTCTAATTGGTACTAGACGAAATTAAAATAACGCTACTTTTTGGTTCTTAATTGATCTCATAGTTATTAAGGCAACACTTTATCGCCTTTTATTTTTTATTTTATAAATTCACAATATTATCTATTGTTTCCCGTTATATCTTAGGGGCCTTGGGCTGCAATCCAAAAAATCTATATATAGATCCGTTCCTGCCAAACATGAGCACATAAATGCGTGTTGAAGCGTCCTCTACAGTCCATACAAATCCTGATGAAGGACAGTAGTACTGAATACAATAAGTACAGGGAAAGCTTATGTCAAATCTCGTTGACGCCGAAACCCGCTAACCCCGCTATCACGTGCTGCAGAGCGTCGGCGCGCGCGCCGTCCAGGAGAGTTACACGCTGATCCTTCTCTATCTGTAATATATCAAATATATGTTTAAATAAAGAAATGGGTGCGTGTAACCTTTGAAGCGCGGTTGAAGTAAATCTTCTTTGGCAAATATCTCAATTAAATTAAAACAAATCAATAATTAAATAAGGCATGTTAGGCATATTACAATCATATATTTATAGAATATCATTTACGGAAAGAATATAATATTATAAATTTGTCAGACAATAACAACGGTTACCATGGCAACATGGCAATGTATTCTATCTCATTCTCTCGCCATCTTAATTTATGTGTTTGTCTCTCTTTTTAGTGTCGCATTTTCATTTCATCGAGTTTCAAATTACAACGATTTTAAAGAAGTTTCACTTTAAAAATTCGTGCTAATCTTTTAGTTATATCACAGATCACATAATATTATACTAATATAATATGTTCGTTTAGAAGATTTAGTCAATGGGCTCATCATGAGTCTTGCATTCTAGAGTTTAATGAGCAAGTTTTCAACAAAAAATAACCAGCATCAAATGACTACAATTTTATAGTGAATTATAAAATTGTAATCATTTGCATCAGCAGATGCTGAGTTTTTTCATTAATTTTTCTCAGGAATGCTCTAAGGTTTTTTTTGAACAACTAGATAATTCATAATAAAATTGTAATAATTTGATTATGAAAAAAAATTGATGAAAAAAATTTATGATTTTTTTGTTGATTTGGGATGTGTAAAATCACTTATATTTATTTGTTTTGAAATCAATAAATAATTGCGCAATTGAGTTGGCAAATAAGTGACTTTACATGTTGTTATTGCCGTATCATATATGACAAGGTTCTGTGTGAAATCTATAAAGGAGTCGCGATTTGACAGCTCATAAGAAGTATAGGCAGTGGTAGCCCAATTGTAAAGCGCTCGCTTGGGAAACCGAGTGACTCGAGTTCAAATTTCTCCCGAGTCTCGCGCCTCTGATATTTTTATATGCGAATCATTTCCAACATAACTACCACTTGTGTTAATGGTGAAGGAAAACATCATGAGAAAACATGCATGTTTGAGAAAACCTAGCAAGTTTTAAAAATGACATTTGACGTCCGCCAACCCGCACTTGGCCAGCGTGGTGGACTATGGCCTGATTCCCCTCGTCCTGAAGGGAGGCCCAATCCCAGCAGTGGGGCGTTAAAAAAGTCTGAACACATGATGTATGGGTTCGGTAGAGTACAGTATACCTGCGCGCGGTAGTGGTGCGCGTTGAGAAACATCGGGAACCAAAAATCTGAATAAATCCGCGAAGTAATCCAAAAATATAGTTTTTATTTAAAATTACAAACATTCGCGTAAATCTAAGAAAGTATTAAAGTTTCATTTCATTATTTCATTTACATGCGGTAGGATATAAGAGTAGGATAAAGTATGATATACCTGGGCGCGGTAGGTGAGGTGCGCGGGCCACACGCAGCGCTCGAAGTAGCCGGGCACGTCGGGCGGCACGTACAGCCGCAGCGCGCGCCGCGACGCGCACGCGCCATACTCCAGCAACAGGTAGTACCTACACAAGCGCCGCCAAATTATGTTTTTGCATGCACATAATATTGTGAATTTATGAAATAAAAAAGATATTTAAAATAAAAAAAAATGGCGATAAAATGTTGCCCTAATAACTTGAATATAAATTACTTTAGGCCCCCAAGAAGTGTCAGTCTCTGCACCCCTAAATTCACACTCCACCGCTGGTGTTTGGTATTTATCCTCTAATCGCACCGAGCCGTCACACACCGTCGGGTTCGGTGCAAGTTTATGCAACACGCTTTGACACTCGCGAGGGTATCAATATATAGGGTACTTCCGGTGATTTAATCACGAAATTTGGCAAGAAGCAATGTCTTATAACACAAGCGAAGGAAAAAATCCGCTAAACCGTAAATGTAATTTTTTGTTATTATTATTTAACGATTAGTATAGAATAGGTACATAGGTATACAAAAATAAGACAGTACAAAAAACCTTGTAATTATCACCTATTTATAGGTCATAAACACCGAAATATCCTTTATTTTTTAACAAAATTATAAAATCTATACTTATTATAAAAATAAGTCCCCCGGCCGCGTCTTTCTGTCCTCCTGTCTGTCCTCCTGTCTGTCTGTACGCGATAAACTCGAAAACTACTGAACGGATTTTTATACGGTTTTCAACAATAGAAAGAGTAATTCTTGAGGAAGGTTTAGGTATATAATTTATTATGCTTTTATGTAAATTAGCTGAAATACGGCGACAAATGTTGAAGAGGTCGCAAAAAATCTCGCCAAATGGGAACTTTCCACGCGAACGCCGCGTAAACTAGCAAAGATACAGTTAAGTAATGTACTAGAGAATTCAAAATCTATAAAAATGCTACAAAAAAGTCCGCGATAGCATATCTCTATCTCTTACGGTTGACTTACAATAACCACTTTTATGTTAACATTTTTAATTAAAAACATTACGTTATTTTCAAAGTTATTTTCTTTAGTTCGGTATTAATCCTTATCCAAATGAATATTTTAGTTAGCTTAGTCATTTAATGCAGATTAAAATTGCTCTTTACACTAAATCAATCAGATGAATAGTTTTTGAGATATCGTTGTTAGAAGTAATTAGTAGCGAAACATTTTTAATGCTTGGCGAGCATTGAGATGCCTACGGCGAGTCCATCCCCTCTGCCCCGCATCGCTCGACCGCCTGCTCAAGCTATATAAACCGGGCGATGTAGCGCGCGATCCTAGGATACTTTTTACCGCGGGAAAATATCTTATTTCTGAGGAAAAATACAAAAACTGCAATGTAAGAGTATACTAATATGTAACACCTAAGAATTTAGTTTTTGGTCATCTGAACGCGGGCGGAGCCGCGGGCAATGCTAGTATAATAATAAATTATTTTTGTCCTTAACTTTAGAAATTATTTGTACCCCATATAAACTTTTAACCCCAATTTCACTCCTTTCAAGTTTCATTTTTACGCCAAAAAGTATCTTCTGTCCCTTCTTCAAGGTCCCATCCCTTTCTATACCAAACTTCATCAAAATTGATTCAGACAGAGTTACTTTCGCATTTATAATATAAATATAGATTTAATTATTTCATGCTATGGAACCCTCAATTTGCGAGTGTAACTCGCACTTGTCTGATTTTTTTCTGATAAAAATTACAAATAAAGAGGAAACAAAAAAACTTACCGCAAATTGCAAATCTCCATAATGGGCTTATAATTCAACACAGTGAACCCCTCAATCACCATAAATTTCTTCCCTTTGCACTCCAGCTTCCCCGGACTTCGCTCCAAATTTCTCACATGAGCCCTGTCTTCCCCATTTATAGTTTTAGTTATATCATCAAACATCGCCTCCATATCCAGAGACGACAGAATATCATAGTTATTATGATCCAAACCCTCACATTTCACGTGTTTAGGACTATCATCAGGATAAAAATATTTATCCTGATGAAAAACATACACTGGTGTTAGCAAATTCTGCAGTCTATTCGCTAAAGTTGTCTTCCCACCACAAGTGACCCCTGACACGCCTATAATAATCCAATCATTTGCTGACATGGTGGTTTGTACCCTTCTTTTTATAGGTATGGGTAAATGTGGTAAAGGGTGAAAGACATAAGACCCCCAATAAAAAAGAATCCCCAAACGGCGCACCCCAGCAACACCCACTGTGGATCGGGGATGTAATTGTATATGGAAAGATCTGAAAGAGAATAATTCATGTGATTAACAATAATAACTATCAAATACTTTTAAATTGCTCCGGCTAATCTCCGAAACGGCTGGACTGATTTTAACGTGACTTTAACTGGCAGATAGTTGATGTTATAAGGAGTAACTTGGGCTACTTTTATTTTAGAAAAAGAATATGGGTTCTGCTCAAAAAAATTATAACGTACCTAGGGACGCACTCGAGCGAAGCGAGTGTAAGTCGCTAGTATACAATAACTTTAATAGAAGTATAATAAATTTGTTAATCTATTAAAGAAAATAAGCTAGTTTATCAATATTGTTATAAAAAAGTGACTTATACTTATACTTCATAATTTTTTATATACCGAAATAAAAAGTAACATCAGAGTCACATTGTCTCTGGTTTGTAAAATTAAATTGATCAAACTGATTTCCACATAGGATATATGATATTACGTTTTGAAATATATATAATTAAGTATTATTATTGTATGTTATTTGTGTAATAAATGAATATGTATATACACTCACCCTCGTCAATAAAGGGGTAGGAGTTAATCCAGAAAACCAGAATGCAATACACAGTGAGAGTTGTCACCAAAATGAACCTCCCCACTGCACTGTCAGGAATTTCCATAAAGACATCACTATTTTCACTTTATAAATGTCAAAAAATTCTCTAAACTTATTTAGTTATTAATATTTAAATATTAAAGTTCTATAAAATTATAATTTATTTAACAATTTAACTGCAAAAGTAGCTTTTTTCAAAATCTTCAAATGGTTCATCTGGGAACAAGATAGACTTCTGTTGTTCGACATTGACTTCAATCTTTTCACTTAATGCCTTGCCTTTGATTGCTCTCTCTACGATCTGAAATAAGCAAATATTACTGTGTAATAAGCATACATATATATACATATCAGTATAAACTATAAATAAATCTATATCTATCAATATAATATAATGATAATATTCAGTGTTCTTTATATTAAACTAGCAGGACCCCACGGCTTCACCCGCGTCGATTTGCTTGTATAGCACATGTTTAGTTTATGGGATTTGGCCTCTGAAGGGGGTGGTATTTTTGGATAGGAGATGATAGAGATAGATGAGAGAGTCTAAATCTAATTTATAAATATCTCGTGTCATGGTGATTGTGGTCGCACTCCTCTGAAACGGCTCGACCGATTTTAATGATTTTTTTTGTTTATTTGGTAGGTATGAGAATAGGTCGTAAAGTATTTTCTCTGCAGCGTCTGGTATTTTTAAAGATAGCAATAATATAGTCCTAACTTTTTTACTACTTTTTTCACAAAACAACCAGAACAAGATTTTTTTTTTTTAGATTTAACACATAAAACAATGTAAGAAACGGAACAACTGAATGCCAATCTGTCAACTCACTATTTTATTTGGAGATTTTAAGCCCAGAATTTTTACTTTTCCATAAAAATTTTCAAAGTTACCAACACAACAAAAAAAGAATTAACCAAATAGTTGCAGCCATTCTGAAGTAATTTGGCAATTGTTTCTATTAATATTAATTAAATATCATTTCTTATTTCTAAGATATAACATATTTGAGAACAACTCAACAAAACACGTCTTATACATATCTAAATTATATCAAGTTAATCTAACCGCAATAAACCATAAAGTGTTTTATTACAACTTTCATAATAATTCATAGATTTTCAATTATGAAGTCATTGTTCAATTCTTATATGTATTTTTTAGAATGAAGCAAAAATTACTTTACAGTTAAATGCAATGCTTATGCTTAAAGTTATTTTCACAAAAAAAAACTTAAATTAAAAGTGTGCTCAAATGTTCAAATGAGTGCTCACTCGGTGAGGACATTTTTGTTGCTGATTGTGTATCTAGTACTTTTTTGATCATTGCTTTACATACTGTATATTGAGATGATGAGATTGTATTATTACTATTTTATTATCTTATCACTGTGCTAAGTATTAAGCAGCAGTAAAAAAATAACACAGTTATCTGTTGATAGCACATGGGTTTAAATCTATCTATATTTTTTTTTTCCTGTCTTGTTCATTTTTCATTTGTTCTTGCATATTCTTAATTTTGTGTAATATGTATAGCAATATGTATAGCAATATGTATAATCATAATTCTTTATGAAAAGGGAGAATATTTGTGTTAATGATATAAATCATTATCTCAGTGCTTATTTGTCCAAGCAACTATTAATTTACCAAAAGAGTTTTTAATATGGATATATTTACTTTTGTCAATTATGTTGTCAAGAAATACATATTTTACTTTAATAAAGCACTAAAGCAACGAAATGTTGGGTACAGGTAGTGGGTACAGATAGCGGGAGCTAATCCCTTTATTTTTGCCATAGTAGTTAGTGATAATCACATTGCATCATAACAATTATTTGATTCATTCATTTATTTATATGACCATAAACTTCTACATTAAAAAAAAGTTTATTGTAATAATATATTTTTTAGGAAACATAATTTAGAACAATATGATTTATATAAATGAATCTGTATTGTAATACATGGTTTAACTAACCTTTTGAGCAGTAGCACTGTCAGCAGTAGGAGTTGATAAAGCAAGCAATTTCTTTATATTTTCCTCTGTTATTTCCTCTTTAGATATCACTTTTTTCTGCAGTTGTTTTTTGTTCTTTTTGTACGGGTGACTGACAACTATAAATTAAAATAGTCATAAAGCAACGTAATCATTAACGTAAAGATATTTATTATGATAGCAAAGTTATATAATGTAACGATATTTAAAGCGGGCATATGTCGTGTACATAAAATACAATCAAACAACCTAAGTATGACACAAATTGTCTCATGAAATATTGTTATACAAACCTTGACCCTGGTGCCGGCTAGTATTCGGACGACGTTTCGTTTTCTTTTTGGTGTTTTCTAGAAAAAACATTACAAATTAAATAAAACATAAATAATAAGCGAGTCCAAGATTACGCAGTCGTTATCTAAAGTTGAGTCTACCTTCTGGATCTACGAGTTCTAGAGCTTGACGCACTAACGCTGAAGACATTTTAAATCATAGATACCAATTTTATTAACATTTACGGCAATTTTTAATAGTGCCCATTATAACCTATAAAAATGTTCCGTGAGTCGTGACACATTACTGACAAATGACAGTGACAATTAACATTAAAATGTCAAAGTCACAGACTTCAGACAGGTTTTTACTTTAGATTATCTGTGTAGGTAATCTAAGAAGTACAAAACTTAATAAGTCTGTTTAAGCCGTTACAAATAGTAAAAAAAAATACTCTCTAGACCATTTAACTTTATTAAAAGTACCTATTAATATTTTGATGATCAACGTCGCCGCATCGGGGGACCGCTAATACTTTATCATTATGAATTTTATTTTTATTCTGGTTTTTATATTTTATTTACTTAGCGTACGGACGGAAAATCTTCAAAAGTTCCTACGATGTTTCTGACTAAATTCATAAACATCATCACACCGACTACAACTATAATCTTCTTAAATAACCACTAATTGGTAAAAACAGTTTGAAAATGCCAACTGTATTTTCTAAAATTTTCTTGAACAAACACAGGCTTATCGAAATAGGGTACTTAAATTTATAATAAGTACATACGATAGTACTAGTCCCTGTTTTCCAATTACAGCACGAAAGCGTATTTTGCGGCATAATGCTCAACTTCGAACTTTTCAACTGTAGCAACAGCAGCAGAAAATATAAGTGTTTTTTCGCGTTATTCGTGTTTGTGTGCCGAAGGCATTATGCTGTTATTGGAAAACAGAGAGTGACTATAACTATACGTGTGCAGGTTCTGCATGCTGTACCGCGCCATCAACGGCGACAGCGCCGGCCCCGAGCGCCGCGAGGACCCCGGCGCGCCGCACGCGGCACACGCACCGCACAGATACGAAGTTGGTTCTTTACTTTGCTTATATTAATTTGTATTATTTGTTCAAGTCTATGTTCTTTCTATGTATGTTTATTGGTAATTAAGTTATTATCTTAGAATCTATACACACATTGACTTTTTACCGCACTGTCAACCCATGGTTGATCTTGATATGTTTTTATCGTGCGTTTGTATAACATGGTTTGTTAATATTCTTCAAGCTCATTCAACAATATTATTAAGACTGGAAATAGAATCAATATTTATCAACTTATACTAAAAATTTGTTTTGGAAGTGTGAAATATTTAGCCTAAGGTTTTTGTTTTATACCCAAAAGCATATACCAATCATCACAATAAGTAAAAAAATATTATATATCTTAGTTATGAAATAAAACAACTTTTCTTCAAAATCTTCAAAATAATACTTTTTTAAATTTATGCGTATTAAAATATTTTTGAAATTTTAAATAAAACTATCTTTTTGGATTTTTTCGCGGATTTTTTAAATGTTTCATTCCTTTTAGTGGTTTAGTTTTTGGGGAAAGATAGTTTTATTTAAAATGTCGAGTAATAACGAGTGTAGAGTACAGTACGTATATGTAATGTGCCAGTCGGGCGCGCCGCAGGGCCCGCCCACGCCGTGCCCGGCGCGCGTGGAGTACGCCACGCCGGTGTTCGCGCGCAACTACCAGGGCGTGTGGCGCTACGTAGTGCAGATCCCCTACGAGGGTTACTTCACGCAGACCGTCGAGGTCACCAGGTATGTCGCGGATAGGTCACAGTATATATCTATACTAATATTATAAAGAAGTAAAGTTTGTGAATTGTGAGTTTGTGACATTGTAGGGGGTAATCTCTGGATCTGCTTAACCGATTTAAATGAAATTTGGTAAGAAGATAGTTTGAGACTCTGGGAAAGACATAGATTACTTTTTATCCCGGAAATCATCTCTTAAGGGGGTGAGAATGGGGATGAAAGTTTGTATTAGGAAGCAAGCTAGGGACGAACCCGAGCGAAGCGAGGACGAGTCTCTAGTATATAAAATAAAGTCGGGTTTGTTACAACAATTATAACTCGAGAACGGCTGAACTGATTTTTATGATCTTTTGTTCGATTTGTCTTCACCCCGATACATATTATATGTTGTACAACCAAAAATTGTGGCACCAAACAAATATTGTATTGGATTATATATTAATGATTGTATGGTATATGATTATATCGTGTCGGTACGTAGATGCATGCAGTCGCGCTGCCACTACCTGGAGGGCGGCTGCCTGAGCTCACCGCGCTGGCTGTCGCTGCTGGTGGCCGAGCTGCACTACCCGCCGCAGCCCGCGCCGGTAACACACACTATCTAAAAACACGTTATTAACCTTCTCCAGACTACATTACCTACACTGTACCCTATTTAGTTTTCTACATTTTTCATTGCCGGTCACATAAACTTGATATTTTGGTGGACGTCAGTGATAATTCAATTATTTATTTAGCCCATCCAAATAATTTTTAATAACCATTAGTTTTGCATATTTTCCATAGTCCCGTTACATTATCCATGTAGGCAATTAATTCTCTATGAGCTATTCAGAGACGGATTCCAACTGATGTATCATTTAACATTTAAATGGCTTAATGCTATTGAAGCAAAACAATGTTTGCATTGCAGGAGTACCAGCCGGCGCAGAAGCTAGATGACGTCAGCACAGAGAAGCCGCACTGCGACGGACACGACGAGCTCGGCTGCTATCAGGTACCGTATGCATTGTGTTTAATATTTATTATTAATTTATCAAAAAGTACCAAAATTACCAAGATTTCTAAAAAAATGTTATTACGTTCATTCAATTCGTACTATGATGTGAAGTTTAACAAATAGCATTCTTAATTTTATGTCATAATTAGCAATCTTGTAAAAGTTCTTGTTGTTCTGAATTCGTTATTCAATTTTATTCAGTTAATAAAATATGTAACTATAATTTTAACTTGTCTTCTCAAATTGTCAATATGTACTATACATAAAATATTTAGGTATATTTACTAGTGGCTTCCACTATTAGTATGTATATATGTATGTGTGTGTGTATGTAGGTGCGCCTGTACTATGACTGGTTCTTGGTGCCGGGCTCGTGCAAGTGCTGGCGGCCCGACTACTTCGCGCGTTACGTGCGCCGCGCGCGGCAGGACCTGTAGGCACACAACTCCTCTTTTAATCAAGTAGGTGAACCTATTTAAAAGACCGATGTTTCCATCTGCTCTACACTATGAACTTGAAAATCGAACAAAACATGTTGAAAGGTAGGTGCTCTTTTAAACGTAAGCTTTATAAATCAGGCAGGCATATTTAAAAAAAAAATGGATAGATACCCTATTTAAAAGACCGATATTTCCATATCTTTAAACACTACGAACTAAAACTCGAAAAAAACTTTTTGAAAGGTATATATATATAGATGTTCTTTTAAACCTAAGCCTTGTAAAGCTTTGCTCTACTAAGCCTAATGAAGTAGGTAAGTCTATTAAAAACACCTATAGACCGATCTTTCTATTTACCCTATGAAGTAGTAGTCTTAAAAAAATAGTTGAAAAATATTCAAATGCTTTTCCAATTTTAAGCTTTACGAAGACAGTAAATCTACTTAAAAAAAGGTATATAGATACTTCCATCTGCTCTCCTGAGCCTTGTGAAGTAGCTAAACCTACTTAAAAAAAATAAACAGGTATTTAAATTGCTTTCCTAAGCTTTATAAAATAGGTAGCCTTAGCCTAGCCTTCAAATACTAATTGTTATATAAATTTGTTTTTTTTTATTACTTGAAATAAATATTTTTTTTAATTTATATTACCGAATTTGAAATAAAAACGCCTGTTGTTTTATTATTTAAAATCGATATTAATATTATATAAAAACACACACAATATATATTAGGCTAGTTACACATATCATCAATACTCACTTTAAAATTTATTTTGAAGTTTGAACATACTATTTTTAAATTATTAAATAAATTAATGTTTATAGTTTTAAATCTGTGTAAATTTTAACAGAATTGTAATTGTTTCATAAACCTTTATTTATAGACTTCTGAATAGTTTTTTACAATATGTATTATATTTTACAAAATTTAATTAAATATGTATACAATATATATTATGTATAGTTTGGAAGCAAACTAAAAATATCATAATTAATTTATTATAAACTGATGAGTGAACGACTTGGTGCTAGCGGCGACTTGAGACTGCAACTGTTAGACGTAGATAAATGTATGTATGTAAGACATTTTAAATCTGTATTTACACGTGCCGTGGAAAAAATCGCATCTTAAATATTCAGTTATAAATTCAATTTAAAAAGTGAACATTAAAGTGTTCTCTATTATTATTTTTAATATTCATATTTTTTTTCTATTTTATTCAATTAAAAAGATTTTTTTATTAAATTACTAATCTTTGTTTATAATTAACAGTAATATATAGAAACCTACAATATATTATTATAGTTATAGTGTAATATAAATAAATTAATTTATAGTGAAAATTAAATTTCTGTTGCTTTGCTGTCAGAAGTGACGAAAGAGTGTACAGTTAATACTAATATCGTTTCTACATAATTTTATCGACATTTTATAATCAACAAACACATACAAAGTTACTTCTTAATTTTTAGATGCGGTTTTATCCTATAAAGGTTAATTAATAAATAATTAATAATATGACGGTAGTGTATATTTTTTAATTATAGTAAAGGCTGAAGTGTAAATACACCTTTAGACGTAAATGGCGACCGTTGCATAATGGCAACACTCGTTATATTATATAATAATGATAAATTATTATATTGAATGTTATTTTTATAGTTTATACAGCTTTTTAGAATTATAGCGACCCTTCCAAATATATTGACACTTAATGTAAAAATATATTATGTATATGTGCTCGGTTAAATTGTTAGAGAAAACGAACTGTTTTAATGTTAAGTATTAGGTTAAATTTTGGAAAATCAATGAAATTTGCTGAATTTGAATGGATCCTAAATAATATATATATATATATTCAATTTAAAAAAAATACAAGAGAGAATGAAACCGTTTTTGACAGTAACAAGCTTGTCATTGTCACTATCACATTATTGTCTATGATAGTTTTGGAGTTTATTATTAAATATTAATCGTTATACTCAGCTCAAAGTGCATTTATTTATAATACTTAGTAGTAGCATAAGTTCGCAACTAAGTAAGATACTGTACTTGTTGAATAAACCACTTTATATTACTTTGACTTTTATTTTTTACCAGCAGAACCCGCGGCCTCGCCTGCGCTAAAACTACAAAAAAATCTCTAAAAAGGTAGATTTCGTACAAATTTTCATCCCCTATTTTACCCCCTTATAGGATGAATTTTGAAAAATGCTAAAACACGTATTTATTTAATTTTATTGAGGAGCATAAATACTAAGTTTCAATTAATTCTGATCATAACTAATTGTTTGCCCATATAAACTTTATTACCCCCTTTTACCCCTTTAATGGACGAATTTCGAATAATAGAAAATAAATATATTTCTTTTTTTTATCTTAGAGCTAAATATACCACTTTCTCTGTATTTCTTATTAAGAATGTCAGAGTTTCATACAAATTTTTATACCCTATTTTACCCACTTAGGGGATGAATTTCGACATCGTATAAGGAATACGTCGTCCAATATATTATAGAATAAATATTACATGAAAAGATTACATTACGTACATATTTGTCATCACGTTACATTCAAGAGGGTTTATTTAACAATACACAGGCGACTTACCTTCGCTTCGCTCGGGCGCTCTCTGCGGCCTTTTGTGTTTATAATATCTAACATAAACGCAAAATATCAGTCGCACGAGTTTCAAAAAATCTATATCTATAGATATAATAAAATTGTAACTAAGCCGAATCTGTACAATAAATATTTTTATAGGAAAACCTCATTGAAATAGTCATTATATACAGAGGCCGAATGTATAGTTTTTGGAATTTTTATTTGTCTGTCTGTCTGTGACCACATAACGATAAAACCAATGGACTGATTTTTATGAAATTTGGTATGATGGTAGCTGGTTATGGTCAACATAATGTCAACATATAGATACTTTTTACTGTGGGAAATTATCTTATCTCTGAGAAATCTATACTAAACCTTAAAACGTAAGTAGGTATGAACCCGAGCTGAGCGAGGGTGAGTTGCTAGTTTAATATAAGAAAGGAAAAAAATAAAAAAATGTGGAAAGTAATCGCCTTTATTTGTTCATTTCTGGGGGCGTTACGTTACAGAGTTCAACTAAGTCGCTACAAAATATTTGATTTACATATATCTCAAAATTATCTATACAACCTGAGTTATAATCACTTTGTACTAGCACTTGTCCGCGGCTCTCTTCTACAGACAACTTCATTTTCTATAATCGATATATTCTAATTGATATTAGGTACTTCTATTAATTAAAGAGGCACATCCACTCCAATATTATATTCAAAATAATCATCCCACTGATTTGTGAAGTGTTTTCTTGAGATTTTCATGAAACTGTCCTTAAAATATAATTGATTTATTAAAAAATGAATTATGAAAAACCGTTCGCAATGGGAGAAAATATTGTATTACGTAAGTACATGCAATAAGACAAAACTCGAAATTAAGTATTTCTAGTGACCCCGTGACATATAACGCTTAGAAATGTCATTTCCTACATTACTTACTGTTCTATTGATGGCGTAAGTATAGTATACCCCTCTGTAACGAACGCAGGTCGTCCTTTTATTACTTTTGTGCTATTGAATTTATATACATTTTGATGACCACTAGTTTTTAAACATTTTCGTTTTGAAACAAAGCAACATACTGACACGACTCCGATATATTATTTATATATAGTAGAATAAATATGAATTATCGAAATATTAATAATAATGTTACAATAATTATATTATCTACCGCGTCTAAAGAAACGCATACATTCATAAGAATATAGAATGAACCGAACCGAGCTTACATGTCTCGTCGGGCCTCGAACACGTCCGTAACGGAGATGTAGGAGACGTCATCGTCCTCCGCGTGCAGCGCCACGCGCATGTCCTCCGACGCCAGCGGCGCGCGCGCGCCCTCGTCCTCGCCCTCCGACGCCGTCTCGGCGCCAGAGCTGTCCGCGTACGGAATCTTGTACATGCGGTGGGCGAGCGGGTTATGCGCCTGCAGCGGGTCCGCGTTGAAGTAGTTACTGTGATGCGCGATGGACACGGAATTGAACCTACTGGAGGCCGGCGCGTCGTCGAATACGCTCTGCTGCCGGCCGTCGAGGAAGCGCACGGAGGGTACGCCGTCCTTGGGATTGGAGAAGGTGACGTAGCAGTCGGAGTAAGGGGGCGGGGGCTCCTCGCGGCGCGCGTGCTTGCCGGCGGCGGCCACCTCGCTGTAGGGCGGCGGCAGGTCCTCCATGCACACGATGTAGCCCGACGCGCTCGAGAGCACGGAGCGCGGCCGCTCGGGCTCCGCCGCCTCCTCCGCCTCCGCCTCCGTCGCCTCCTCCGCCGGCACGCTACTCGCTGGGTTCTGTTCTAGTATTCGAATATACAAAAAAAATCTATACATATACCTAATAAAATTGTAACTAAGCGGAATCTGAACATTAAATATTTTTTGGAAAATCTTATTGAATTAAATTTTTTTATCGATACAGAGGCCAAATCTATAGTTTTTAGAATTTTTATCTGTCTGTCTGTCTGTCCGTCTGTCCGTCTGTCCGTCTGTCTGTCTGTCCGTCTGTCCGTTTGTACTCCAGTCATGGGGGTTTATATTTATAATATGTATGTATTTAAAGTTATATATGTGTAGTGTATCAATTATCTGGTTTAACACATGCCTCGTAGCTTACTATGGAACTAGATGGTGCTGTGTTAATAAAAAAATTTAGTCCCTGTACTATTATTAATATGATTGTGTATGTGTGTGTGTGTGTGTGTGTGTGTGTGTGTGTGCGTGTGCGTGTGCGTGTGCGTGTGTATGTGTTTGTTATTTTATTACATTTAATAGCTGGAATGGTTTTAATGAAATTTGGAATAAAGATTGACTATGACCTTGAATGACACAACCTAATGTCAGTAATAAAATTAACCAATAATATTATACAATAAATACAAAAGATATTTAGGAACATATTCGGGTATGCTAAATAAAGTAAAGTTACCAGTGTAAAAAAAACAATTGATTTTCCGTAGTCAGTTTACGGACTATAATTTTACGTGATAACGTTATATGGAAACATTGATGAAAAATTGGATAGTTTTATGAATTTAATTGGATTATTATCATTGAATTACCATTATTAAATTTTGTATAATACAAAGAAGGAGTTAATTGAAAATTATATTTTTTTCTATAAATCAACATTTATTTGCACTCGTTTAGTCAAATAATGTGCTATTAACAACTTAAGACCGATCGTGACTCTCTATCGTTAGTTCCGCGCTCTCGCTCGTACGTGACATTTTTTTGTACGTGCAGCCGGCGTTCATCGATCTATAAGCCGCTATCACGTCAAAATATACTGTACACGAGCCCGCCGCGTGCGTGTGCGCGTGCACACGGGCGGCTAGCGCTTTCGGCATCCACGCTGGGTTGGATATCGAGCGGTCATACGATACGCACTTATTGTTTTGTATTTAGTTTTGTCTATTTTGTATATCTAGTTCTGTCTGGCTAATATGTATAAGGCAAAGTAAACATATCTGTTACGGTTTACGAGTTGTATCATTGGAATAATATTCAACAATACATATTTGTATAGCGTGGAAAAAAAAAGTTATGTTATACTTCTTTTGGCACGTTTGGAAAAAAATATGAGAGTAAAATTTTTACGATGCGCGCGCACACCGACAGCCAAAAAGCGACATAACTAAGTTAGGTGCATTCCTTTTACAAACAGAGAGTTGTGACATATGGGATGAAATCTTTAACTATTTTGTTCTGTTACTCCAAAGAAGTATAACTTCTTACGTGCGTACATAAGTACACACACACACACACTTTTATCATTTGTAGGTATTTATTTCATTTTTACTTACGACTAGTAGCGAGTACGTTCGGAGTTGGCCACTCTTCTGATCGTCTTCGTCGAGCTGAAATAATGCAAAAACATTGATTTCTTTGTTGAATAAATTGATTTTTTCGGTATTAATTTATATAATCATTCCGATAGACATTATTCAAAAATCAAACTAATGCGAGTCTGTCTTGCACACTAAGGGTTCCGTAGTATGAAAAATTTTTAAGTCACGTTTCAAAATATACACTTAAAAAGTTTAATAAAATATTTACCAATCTGTGATATATGTATGCCATGAACGAATTAGAGACGTATGCCATTGACGGCATAATTAAAACTTCCAAAATTAAAATTTAGTTATCTGCCTCGGTGGTGTAGTGGCTAGCATGTACGGCTGCACACCTGGAGGTCCTGGGTTCGAGTCCCGGGTCGGGTCAAGTTTAGTTATTGAGTCTTTGTGTATAGTAAGCCTCAGTAACAGCCCGGAGTTGGGAAGTTGGCGGTGTTTCACCCCCGTGCCTCAGAGAGCACGTAAAGCCGTCGGTCCTGCGCCTTAACTCTCACTGCTCGTGTCGGGTAGTCGTCCCACCGGAGTATGAGAGTGACAGGAACAGAGAGTGCACCTGTGTCTGCGCGTACACTTGTGCACTATAATATCTCCTGCGCAGTTGGCTAGTCTCAATGAAACTGGCCGCCGTGGCCGGAATCGGTCAGGAGAACATCATCATCAATTAAAACTTCATTATTATATTAGTAATATAAGCATCTTTATAATATTAGTATAGATGACACTACGAGGACTAGGAGAACTAGGTGATTAACACGCCTCTTGTTTACGGAAATAGTCTGTTTCTTTTAGACTCTTGGCTAAGGAAACCTTAAAGAAGCGGATGTCTTAAAGTATGTAACGATAGTCGATAGTGTTTCCAAAGTACATGTTCAGCTACGTAGTACGTAATACGTATACAATATATCGCACATCTGGCATAGTTGGTTGTGAAGCAGCGGTCGGTGGCGCGCGCCAGCAGCAGCGCCGCCACCAGCAGCAGCGCGCCCGCGCCCCAGCCACGCCACGACCACCACTCCGCGCCGCCGCCGCCGCCCGCGCTCCCGGACATCGACTCCGGCTGCTGGGAGGGATGTTCTATACTTATAAAGTTATAAACTAATAGTCCGAGAGATGGTGAACATTATAGGGTAGGTTCTTGAGGCATTACAGAAAATTTTGTAATTGTCTTTGAAGGACCCCTAAATATGATAGTCGAGGCATGGCTTGAATTTTTTTAAGGGAAATTCCTTTATTAAAAGAAATTTTTTTGAGGCGTTTTGATATTTTTATATAAATATTAAATTTTTTAAACAAATGAAAAAAATGTTCTTTAGGCAGTTTGGGATTTTTTGAGAGTAATATAGGTACCTGTTTAAAGACAAATAATCCCAAAAAGCCAGATTTGATAAAAAAAAATTACCTGCTTGATGATCGAGAAAGTCCGGGAGAACAGCACTATGCATAACTTGAAGTGCGAGAGAAAGCATATCTCGGCTGTAAATCTCGCTCAAGGATCCTGCGACGCGATTGGTTCTCGCGATATTTTTATGATGTATTTTCAGCTAATTTACAAGATTGAAGTAATAATTTTGTAAATAATAATTATTATTGTTATTGTTTTTACTATTACTTTTATTACTATTATAGTATTTTTTTTATTTTTATTTCTTTCAAAATTTTCTGTAGTGCCTCAAAAACCTACCCTAAAATGTTCACCAGCTCTCCTACAATAAACAGTCAAATCCACGCACACATGCACGCACACATACACATGTACATGCATTTATAGTAGTAGTAACAACTGTATTTTCAAGATTTTCATTGTAGGTACAATACTTGAATATATTTATGCGAACTTTCTTTTTTATTTAATTTCATTGCGTTTTTTCATTCTCTTTCCTTGATATATTTTACTTATCAGTCCATTGAAAGCCAGCCAACAGACAGACAGAGAGATAGAAATAAAAACAGACAAGTCGTCAGTAACATTTCTCCGAAGCAGTGCGACACAACATTTATATTTGACATATAAAGAGAATAGATTGGCACCATGATCCTAGATGCGTTTTCAAATGTTACCGAAGGGTCAGTATCGGGCAGGTGCCAGGGCGCGCCCAGCGGGCCCGGCCGCCAGCCCGCCGGCGCCTGCGACGCGCTCTCCGCCACGTTGCTCAGTCTGCAACCAACGCCAAGTATTTCTACTTAGGACTTTCTGTTTACGTTGGGAAATGCATTTACCGTAGGGTCTACTCTGCTATCAGAGAAGTACCAGGAGCAGCCCGCATAGTACATGGTGCTGGATTGCCGGACACTAATGAGGTGACGATTTTTCTTATTTCGATTTCAAGAACAGTTTAACAACTAAATGTGACTTGGCATATTATGGTAATAAATGTGATATGGCATTTCCCATCGTAAATTAAAAGTCTAAGGTCGAATAAAATTTACAAATTTTACAAAAAACAGAAAGTACGAACAAGACAGACTCGACTGATTCATTTAAAAAAAAACAACCAAAAATGGTAAAAACCGTAGTTTCGTTGAAATATTCGCCTAAATGTATTCATTATGATTAGTATTGGTCGGTTACCTAATGAGCTGCCTGAGCTGATTGGGCGTATAGAGCAGCACCTCGGGGCGCGGCGCGCGCGGCCATCCCAGCCGCGCGTGCAGCTCTCGCAGCCGCCGCAGCTCCTGCAGGGTCATCTGCGTATATAGAGCATCTCTTGTGTGTCACGACTAACACGAGTAAATTTTATCCAAATTCGTTGAGTAACAAACACACACACGCCTTTGCACGCACTCGCAACCACACACACACGCGCACGCGTATGCACACGCACACGTACACACACACACATAAACTTTATCATTTATAATAGTATTCAGATAATAGGGGATGAGTGCCAGAACTGGCTGTTTTATGTCCTTAAATTAAAAAAAACTATACAAAAACAATGCTTGACTGTTGACATATTGTTAAATTCTAAAGAACTCAGTGCAATTCTTAATTGTATGGGTGGACTAGCGGCTTACTCTCACTTCGCTCGTGCGTGTCCATGGGGCTGAATTGGTATAGGATACTGGACCTTTTTTTAAAAATGATTTTTTAGAATGATGTAGGAATGCTCAGGTCATAGAATACAAATATATAAAGAAACATTCATTTTTATTTATATAGATAGTAAGAAAAATGGATAAGTATTAACTACCATTGATTTAGCAAGTAACACACAAATACAATATGAGCTTGCTGGCAAGGTACCTGCAGATGCAGCTGGTGTGCGCGCGCCGTGAGCTCGCCCAGCTCGGCCAGCGCCACGCGGCCGCGCCGCCGCCGCAGCCGCTCCGCCTGCGCCCACGCCGGCGGCAGCGTCGCCTGCATGCTCTGCAACCAACCAACATTCACTAGCTTTAATTATTGCTTCGATAACTTTTAGAATGAGGGGCAAACGAGTACACGATCCACCTCATGGTAAGTGGCTTTCGTCGCTTATAGAAATCTAGAGATTTATGAACAGTATACTACAAAATATGTTAAGAACAACTGTTGAGTTTCACACAGGTTCCTCTTAGAATCTGACTCCCAGCCGGTGGCAGTGGTATCAGACTTACTTATTTAAGTTAATTCTTAACTGTTCACATTTGACAACAGGTAACAAAAAGTGCTTTTTGAATTAAAAAAGTGTGTGTGTACATTATGTACGCACGTAAAAATACATCTTTGTTTTTTAAAGCATTTAAATGAAAGCTTCTTTTTCCTAAATATTTAAACTTTTTATGATTTTGATTATAAATAAACAGTCTGCCATGTTTGGGAGTCCGCCATATTGGATTTACAACGACTCATTTTGCTTATTGTGTTTCGCTCATCAAGCCCTTTCATTAGATACCCATATTATAACTAACAAAATGGTAAATAGACATTTTTTTAAAATCCGCCGTATTTAGTTAAAAATGGCGGCATTTAGATAACCGTGCAGTCACGAAAACCAACCGTGTTGTGTATATAGAAATACCAGAATATATATCTTGAATATAGACATCACACTATACTAAAGGGAAATTTAACGACTAACTTCCCACAGTAGCCAATAACAGATAACTTCATACTGTAGTCAAAACCTGTCGCATCGAAAAAAAAATCACTTTCATAGTAAATTTTTCATAATGCGCCAAAAGAAGTATGACTATAAAAATAAAATATATTTTAGATTCGAATTGATTATTTTGTCTAAAATATTTTGAAATTAAAATCTAGAAGATAAAATGTGCTAATTAAGTATAAGATTATAATACAATATAATATATATTCCTGGAAAGCAATTTGAAGTTTCTTAATTACGATTAAGTGTACCTATAATTTTTGAACCAGTTCCACCTACCTATATAGTAATTTATTTTAAGGTAATATAATTATTCGATATATATAAAGAAAATTAGAAACATGAAACTCTTTTCTAATGAAACGATATTTCGTCACGAATAAGCGAATACTAGTATCGACAGCTTTACAAGGTTTCCGACGTACGGGACTTAGCTGCGGTCGGGTAAAAACCTTATAATTTGTTTCGCCCAACCCGAGACTCGAACTCATATCCCACATGCAATAATAGATAGTTGCTAAACCTTCGAGACAGCTTAGTTATTAGTAAGATAACAATGAAAAGCATTAAAGCTCAAGTAAAAGGATTTTTATCTTGATATATTAACAATGGGTACGTCAGAGTGCGTGCAAACACCACGCTATATATGTACATTATATAAATTGTTTCAGGAAAGCTTACATTTTGCGAGAGGGATCGATATGCACGGTACACGCAGATGGAGGTGATACTCGAGATTGCTCTACTAAAATACGTAAAAACATCCGATTTGAGAAGTTTAGTGCTAATAAACGTAAATATATTGAAGTGACGTCGTAGTCAAGTGGTTCAGTTAAACACAGAGATACACTCATAAGTCGGAGAATGTGGTTTGAAAGTGACCTATAATAACACGTCCTTGACCTATATTACTGAATCCGCTATTTTATGCACGAGGCTCTCCAACGAGCGCGCTACCTATTGTATTATATGTAGGTATAGGCATATTTTTTAGTCGTCATTGTGATTTACTTATAATAATTATTATTCTCTCCTAGAAACAACGAAATAAAAGAATTGAATTATTATTCTTAGAACATATCAACTATAGCGCCTGTTTTGGGCCACAATAAAGAAAAATGGTTTATTATTTAACGAAATTCCAATAGTTGCAGTAAAAGGTATTTTGAAGTAATTAAAATGAAAAAAAAAGGTGGTAGATTCCACGTATGCAACTGAGAGCTAAAAAATATTTTTGAGTCCATATAAGCGTGTGGGTTATTCTGAATAGGTCCTTAAAATTAAGATATGACTATAATAAGTGATTTTTTGTTTAACCCAATAGTTGCCGATTTTTATATATGGACCCATAGGTCTGTTTACCTGGTTCAAAATTTGCAATTAATTTTTCAAGCACTTGCTGGCACCTGAGTGAAGTGAAACTTGGCCGACTCAAAAGCTTATATAAAAACCACTACAAATATATTTTAATATTTTTGATTGTTTTAATATTTACTGTACCATTTAATTAAATGAAGTCTAATATAAGCAGATAATATAGTTCATCTGTAAAAATGATACAGATAAATAAAATTGAAAAAGCTTAAAAGGTACTTACAAGAAAACATTTTTTTTAATTTTTGTTTGTTTGTCTGTCTGTTTGTTCCGGCTAATTTCCGAAACGGGTGGGCCGATTTTGACGGGACTTTCACAGACAGCTGATTTTATAAGGAGTAACTTAGGCTACTATTATTGTAGAAAAAGAATGAGGGTTTCGCACAAAAAATTAAAATCCATGAAATTGTGACCAAAATCGTACCTAGGGACGCAAGTGTACAATATAAGTTTTAGGTTTACATGATCACTGACTGTATTTTTATGATGTTAAACGCAACGTTGCCGAAATACCGGGATCTCATAAAAATAAGTAAAAAATGGTAAATACTATATAATAATAGTATTACATCATATATGGATAATGAACATTCATCTTTTTTATATTAGACCAATAAACCACCTAATCAAAATTCGGTGTAGCTTTAAATCGGCAATATGCAGATACTGAATGGTTACATTTTATTTGCATATAGATAAATAAAAATTCTTTGTTTCATTAATAGAATTTTAACGTCATCGTGTTACAATTATTATAAATGCGGAAACTTAAAAACGTGTGTTTGTTTTCTCTCCTTACGCTATAATGGCTGGACGGGTTAAAAGAAAACTTAATACATACATCGATCAAAAAAGTACTAGATACACATAATACTTTCTTAGATTTTAGACAAAATCCAAAAAGATAGTTTTATTTAAAATACTAGATACACAATCAGTGATAAAAAAATGTCCTCACCGAATAAGCGCTCATTTAATCATTTGAGCCCGCTTTTACTTATTTTTTGTAAAAACAATTTTAACCATTGCATTTAAGGTTCAATTAACATTGTTGTATATTGATTTCAACCAAAATAATTATGTAAACACAATTGGTGACAGTTTAAGAGAACTTTTGCATGCGATTGTGTACTAGCACTTTTTTGATCGATGAATGCACTGAAAGACTGTGACCCGGAGTACGAGTAGTATATAAATTACTGTACCTTACGCGCCTAAGATGAAGCGAGGGTAAGTAGCGCTATAATATCTATTACTAGCGGCTCACCCTCGCTTCGCTCAGGTTCACCTCTAGAAAAGCAAAAACAAATCTATCCCGCGGGAACCATACATTTTTCCGGGGTAAAAAGTAGGCTATGTGTTATTCTGATGTATGAGCCATATTATTGTAAAGTTTCATTAAAATCCATTTAGCAGTTTTTGCGTGAAAGAGTAACAAACATACATCCATAAATTCATACATACATTCTTACAAACTTTCGCGTTTATAATATTAGTAGGATAATATTAGTAGAATAATGTCGCTTGAATAAATCGACTATCGAGCGAGTCGACCTGTAGCTACCGGAGCGAACGCGCTTCACGCTCGACGCGTATTCGTGTCGCCTGCCTCACTACGAGTACGTACATAAGGTACATACATATTACATACCTAATATGTTGTACATACCTAATATGTGGGTGAATAGACAACTACCCGTTGACTGTAACTTCGTTCGTTATTATTGTGTTATATTTCTTTATATTTTATATAAAACTATCTTTTTGGATTATTTCGCGGATTTATTTTGATTTTTGGTTCCCGACGTTTCTAATGCTTTACAGCAATCATGGTCACGGGAGAGACTAAGGTTTTAGACGTCTCAAAGGATTTATAATTATATACTTGTACTTGTACAGACAATGCCTACCCACTATTATACAAAAATCATTTTAAAAATTCAAAGATGGTATCAAAGTACCTTACAATATTTGTTGATTTTAAATCGAAACATTTAATTTTTTTAAATAAATATTGTAATTAAGTATTGCAACTTTATTTATTTAATTTTACTTTTTTATTTTAGCTGTTATAATTATAAATCCGCAAAATAATCCGAAGCGATAGTTTCATTTAAAATGTCAAATATGCTCATAAATCTAAGAAAGTATTATATATATTTCTTCATAGTTCATCATCAATAAATGTGGTCTGATGTTTGATGCTGTTGCTGGGCTTCCATATTGATTGTTGTTAATTTAGAACTGAAGTTCTTGTGTGTGATTAAACAGACAGAAAAATATTTTTCATTAAAATGCGCTATAAGAAGAAATCGTCAACCATAATATTATTAAAGTTATGCAAAATTTCCTATAGCGTATTAGCGCTTCGACACAGGAGTAAAAAATTCTAGGAAACATTTGTTAGTGAACATTATATCGCAAAAAAAACATTTAAAGTGTGTGTGTGTGTATGCAATTCACTCACAGTAGAAGTGAAACTTCTTTGGCAAATATCGCAATTAAATAAAAAGAAATCTATAATTAAATAAAGCATATATTACAATAATATATTTATAGAAGACTAGCATTGCCCGCGGCTCCGCCCGCGTTCAGATGACCAAAAATCAAATTCTTAAGTTTTACATATTAGTATACTCTTACATTGCAGTTTTTGTATTTTTTCTCAGTAAATGAGTTATTTTCCTGCGGTAAAAAGTATCCTATATGTTGACCCGGATAACCAGCTATCACCATACCAAATTTTATCAAAATCTCTCCAGTGGTTTTTCCGTGATGCGGTAACAGGCAGACAGACAGACGTTATCCGAGTCAACATATAAGACACTTTTTACCGCGGTAAACATCTCATTTCTGAGAAAAAATACAAAAAGTGCATTGTAAGAGTATACGAATATGTAAAACCTAA